ATAGATTTTTTAAACCACGTCTCATGAGCATGGGGCCAGGGAGGGTAGAGGATAAATTGAGTTAAATTGGTAATGAGCTTCTTTCTCACTGTGCTTTGGAGATGCTCACCTAATCTTCTGACTCTGAATAAGCAATTTGGCTGCCTAATTAGGTTAACCAATAATTTCCCTTTTGACACCTAGGCTGCGTGATAATTTGGGGGTAACCGTGATTCTCTTTCATCATTTCTTTTCTAGATGCATTTTTCGATTTGCCTCTGGGATTAAAGCACAGAGTGGATTCTCACTATTTGCCAGACCTACCATGCCTCTCCACGCCTCTAAGCCTTGGCTTGTGCAATTTCCTCTGCTGGGAATGCCTCTCTTGGAACCCTGATGCTCAGCGAAATCCTCCGCGGCCTTCAAGCCCAGGTGCATAACGTGAGTGGAAAGAAGGAATAAGCCTTTGAACCCTCAGGGTAAAACCAATGGCTACTTTTACTGTCATTCCACAGCTCCTTGAGAAATTAATATTAATAGCTCGTATTAATTAAGGACCAACACAGACCACATGCTTCACAAACGTTGTAGCATAGGCTCATAGCAACATGTCAAGGAAAGAAGGTGATATGCTTTCTCTGTTGTTTTTTTTTTTTTTGTATTGTGGTAAAACATATACAACCCTTTAAATCAGTGCTAAGTGTACAACTCAGCGGCATTAAGTACATTCACACTGCTGTACATTCACAATGCTGGCCATCAGACTATTCATCTTCAGAATTTCTGCAGCATCCCTAACTCCCCATCCCCCTCCTCTCCGTCCCTAGTAACCACGGCTATGTTGTTTCAGAAGTGAGGGAACCGTGGCTCGGGGAGGACAGGGGACTCGCCCAAGGTTTCAGAGCTGGACGTGGCACTGCGAGGATATGAGGCCAGGTCTCCTCATTAGACTCCAGAGCCGCTGCTCTTTCGACCCCACAGTGGTGCCTGCTACCCCTCCCCTGTAGATAGAGACACAAGGATGTCTGTCATGTCTCCACCCCCCTGCTATTCATCTAGACTCCTGATTCTAGAATGATGCCCAGCACACCGAGGGAGCTTGGGATAGATGGAGAACAAATTACAATAGGAATCTGCAACAGAGACATCGTGTCAACCGGACCCAGTGGTTGGGAATGGAGCTCAGATCATAACCTTTGCTTTCTAAAAAACACTTATTGAGCACCGACTGTATGCCTGGCCTGTCCCCTAGCCTGCTGGCCCCACCTCAGCAGGAGAGGCCCGAGGGCTGGCTCTGCCTGACAGCCCTGGGGTGGAAGATTTGTGTTTCTGTTACCCAGTCAATCCTGTATTTTGGATATTAAGCAGTGACATAAAAGCTGCTGACATTAACCTTCGGGACAGAAATTGGCTTTAATGGACCCCATAAAAGTTATTATTGATGCAGCTGTGTGCTGCATCACTGTGACCTCAGCAAAAGCCTCCACCACTATCAATACTGTTGACAATTGCTATTGACTAATGCAAGGCTGGGCGGGGAGGCAGAGTGGATGTCCCTTCCCGTGGCTGGAAGTTTTTGCATTTCACCTTTGGTCAGGATCTTTGAGAACTTGGTCACACATTTTTGATGGCCTCAATTGAGAGTCCAATACTTACTGATTCAAATGGAGCTGGGCAAAGGACTCGGACTATAGGATTGGAGAGATCTGACTTCCAACCCAAGCTTTGCTGACCTGCTGACTTAACCAGCTACATAGTCTCTGCTAGGTCAGTTGACCTTTTTGGAGACTCAGTTTTCCCACCTGGGAAATGGGAATGCCATGGCATCTTCATGAGGATTAAAGGCAATTACATGTGAGCAGTGGCTTGACACATGGTGGGCCCTCAGGATGGCTCCCCCGTACTCCCAAAAAGCAGCCACAAGGTGAGGGGTTGGCTAATGCACCCAGTGCGACAGAGCCCCGTTCTGGTGCTAAGACCTGAGTTCTCATCAGGGAAGGAGAACTTGGGCCGGGCATGAATGCAAGACAAAAAGAGGAGGGCAGGGGAGGGAGAGGGAGATGCAAGGGGCAGCAGCCAGGACAGAACCAGACTCCTGTGTAGGGCCTGGCTCCAGCTCTTGCCATCTTCACCTCCCGGGCCCCTCAGCTGTAAGCTGGGGAGACCATGGTGTGAACAAGAGTGCTGTCGACCTCATCAGCAGATAAAAGGGAGCCATTCCTATGGCTCATGCACTATCAGTACGATTGACTGTCACTGTTTAGACCCTATGAGTGTAGCTTCCTAGCTAGCAGCAAGTGGACAGGCACGCAGGCACCTGCGGGTGTCTGGGCTTGGAGAGTCCCGGCCTGGAAGGGCTGTGGAGGCCAGGGGGCCTTCGTTAGGTTCACCTGCCCACCTCCTTCACCTGCCTGTCTTCCCTGAGTACAGCGAGGCTTAAGTGCTGCAGCCAGCGCTGAAAGGGACGATCAGAAGGAAAAGGTGGCCGGGCCAGGGGAAGCAGGCGGCCATTTCCCATCCCCCTCATCAAAGGCGGAAGCTCTTCAGGCTCCTCGACTATGTCATTATCACCCAACAGAGGCTTAATTCAGCTGTAATTCAGCTCTCAGGGAATATACAATAATGTGGGCGGTGTGCACCTCACTCTGTCATGACTTTATGGAAAAACGATCATTTGTCACCATGGCAAGAAGGCTTCAAAAGAGCAAATAGCCCAAGTCTTTCACTGCAGAGGAAATTCACTATCACCAGGGCTATAAGGATAAAGATTTTTAGAGCCACACAGGCCCGAGTTCAAATCCTGTCTTGCTGTGTGACTTCAGCAGGTATCTTAACCCCTCAGTGTACAGTTTCCTTCTTCTGTGCAAAAGGGATAATAAAACCTGCTTCAGAGGGGTGTTGGGGCGGGGGGAGATGAGATGCTAGAACCAAAGCACTGGTACTGTGCCTGGGGTCTGCCGCTCATCAGCAGCTACTCAATGTTGCTACTGTCCTTTTCTTCTCGTGCACCTTCATCTGAATGTAAGCACTTTGAGTCACAGAACCCCAGATCCAGAAGGGCCTGCAGGTCATCCAGCTCAATTATTCCCCAACAATGTTCATCAGAACACTGAACCCATCAGACACTCTGAGAATAAAGGGTTCCATGCTCAGATCAACTGGGCGAATGCTGCAGCTAGCTCTCCTTGGTGATTCACCTATTAGCATGCACATTTTAACAAAGGCTCTGAGAAGTCCTTCAGTAAAGAAATTGGTTTAAATTCATTCAACATAGTGCTTCCTACATTATTTGACCACAGAGCACTTTCCTGCTGTCATCCCCACCCCAACCTAAGAACTATTAACATTCTCAGATATAGGAAATGCAGATTTGGTTTAAACAGCTTATTTTATAGATGAGGAAACAGAGGTCCAGAGAAAGGATCCAACTTATCCAGCGGCACATCCCAGGTCAATGATGGAACTGAGGCTTCCTGCCTCTTAATCAGGACCATTATCTCTGTACAGGCCTTACACATCAAATCCCTGCTCTGGTTCAGCACATGGTGGGAGTGGAGGGAGAAGGGGCTGCTGGCTTGGCTTGGGCCTTGGTGAGAAGGTGGACAAAGGAGTGTGGATGTCTTGTCACTGCAGAGAGGGGGATCTCCTTCAGGTGCTGAGGTCACTGGCCCTCTCACAGGGTTAGTTGGGGGTCAAGGGAGGGAGACAATGCCAAGCCAGCATATGGCACTGCTTCTCCTCTACCCCCCAGACAGGTGCACAGGCTCCCTAGGAAAACCTCTGAGTTCTCCAGGAGGGGTGGTGGAATGGATATTTGGAACTCTGCTGCATCTGACACTTTGAGGAAATAAATTTTCCACCTGACTCTGACCTTACCTGGTCTCCTGCCTGACTCCAGATCCGGGATTGTGTGGTGTATAACCTAGCTAGAGCATCCTTTTCAAAGACTAAAACTGCCTAAGCCTTCACCTCTGATGTGGTCCCCTCCCTGACTCTGGGGAATCCTGGACAGGAGTCACCAGGATCCTGCATTTGGAGCTGGAAACAGTAGGGGGCACTGGTGCCTGGCTTGGCCGAGTTTTCACTCACATTGCCCCTCTCACTCTGGTATGGAAGCACCAGCAGACCCCCTCATTAAACTTCTGAGAAACAAAAGCCCTCTCCTCCCCTGGGCAGAGGGGCTGTCCCTGGTCTCTGCCACCCTCCCTAAGACTTCGCTGCCAGACCCAGTGGGTGCCTCCTCAGTTCTCACCCGGGTCCACAAAGCTGCCCGGAGAGTGGCAGGGCACAATGGGCAGGGAGATTGCCTGAGCAGCGCCCTGCAGGGCTGCATCTAACCCAGAGCCCCTCAGACATCTGCCAACAAGGTCCCAAAAGGACGGAGGAAAGTTCTGAAACCAGGTTCCCTTTCTTCCACCTTAAAAAGGAGGCATGTGAACTTGGGCCTTGGAAGAAGGGCTGCAGAGGTGAGAGGGGGAGAGAGAGCCCAGAGCCTGCATGCGCCCAGATCTGCAGCTGAGATCAAGGGAAAGCGGGAGCAAACCCTCAAGTTTTAAGTTACCCCAACATGACAGTTTTTGTTTAAGGCCGTTCTCTGACCAGCATAAGACCCTGGGACAGGGCACACCTGTGGCGACTGCCCAGGACTACTGAGCCCCTGGAGGCTGGAGGCTGAGCAGGATTCAGGCAGCACCAGACACGGCGGACGCGATGGACAACAAGCTGCCGGGGACCCACGACCACTGCTCCCCTACACAGAGGCACCTTGCAAGGAATCACTCCGTGCTTTAGGCAGCCCCCCGATCCGAATACAAAGAGCAGCGACCCAATCTCTGGTGTGTCACCTGTGGGTGGGTATTTCGGGTGACTGTGCAAGAGGCTCTGACTTCTGACCACTGAGAGCAAAGCAATTTTTCACCAATGTCACCAGAGCCCCAGCGATGGAACAGAAAATCAATATTGTAATGAAAAGCCTGGCCTCGAAAGCCAGGCTCCTGGCACGGGCCGCGTGGGCCACTCACCGGTCTCGGTGTTCTCGTGCTCCGTGTCGGTGAGCGTGAGGTTGGAGTTGGCCCGGCTGGACAGGCAGGAGCTGCGCCCCGACCGTGTGCTCCGGCCCCACAGCCGCACGGGGTGCTCAGGGGACAGCACGGTGTCGGCCTCCACATCGGCGTCAGAGCTGGCCCCCATGGAGTAGCCGCAGTGCGGGAGGCCTATGTCTGTCCGGTACAGGGTCCCGTGAGGGGGTGTCACCTCTCCCAGCCCCAGCTCCCGCAGGCTGAAGTTGGCTCCTGGGAGGAAAGGCAGGTGAGCGTGGTTAGGGTCTCCCCGCCAGAAACCTGACCCCTCAGCCCGGGATTCACTATTGTGTTTGGAGCTTGCGTGGTGTGCCATGTACAGGCCTCTCTGCTTAAATGGCTCCTCGCCCCTCCTCCACCAGCCCAACTCCTCCACATCCTTTAAGGCCCAACTCATACGGCACCTCCTTTGTGAAATCCCCCCCGCATACCTACACCCCGTGCGGCAGTCATTGCTTCTTGCAGCCAAGCTCCCTCTGAGAGTCCTTGGCCCCGGTCATCCCACACAGTAGGACCAACGGCCTGACCCTTCCGCTGCTGCTGACCTCAACAGAGGCAGGGACCATGTCAGACTCCTTCCTAAATGGGGCTCAATAGATGTCTGTTAAATTGATGTCTGGTCCAAGGCGGACTTGGCAGAAAGCAGCACTCCTGAGCAGGGCAGACGCCTAGTTGAGGAGATGCAGATGGATGCCCCAGGACCGGAAGGTCCTTTTCTGGCCAGGTCAGGAAAGCCTGGAGCATGACATGGAAGATGGGGACTGGCAGAGAGAAGTGGGCCTCACGCAGGCCATGGGCTCTGCCTTCCACATCCTCATGCCACGCGGGGCTCGGGACTGTGGCAGGAATCTGCAGGCTTTGGAGTAATCCAGGGAGCCAGAGCTGGGTGCTGAGAGGTCTGGAGGGCTCGGGAAGGCCTGGCGATGTCCAGGACTGAAGCCAGGGAAGACATGGGTGAGGGGAGTTCACTCGGGGATTTGTATTTGAGTACTATTTCTCCTTCCATAGGAAACACAGCCTCCATGTTACACCTGAATGTTCATTCAATGTCTATTCAAGGACAGCTTCTCCCATATTTCTAATATTCCCATGAGTGTTTTGGGGATGAGAAAGAGGGGGTGGACAAAGGCACCAAGGGCCATATCCCAATTAAACCACTGATCTGGGAAATGGCCTTATAATCAGGTAGCACCCACATTTAAACCAATTCCAGCTGGTTGTGGCCTTCACCAACACACAGCAATGAGGAGGGCGTGGTGCTGGACTTCATAGCAAGTGGGGGAGACACAACCAAAACCACAATTAAGGGTTGAAGTCTAAAGTAGGGAGATCCATGGAGGGTGCTCTGGGAACACAGGGGCAGAGGGCGGGAGCTAAGAAAAGAGGTCTGCTGATGAGAGTGAACTTGGAGAACAGAGGAAGAAGAGATATCTGAGCTTGGAAGGATTACTGCAACCAGGGCCAGGGCTGAATAGGAAAGCCTGCAAAGGCAAGTGGCAGGTCTCCTCCCCCGGTCCAGGAGGGGACCCGCCAAAGAGGGGAGGAGGGGAGAAGAGACCACCTGGGCCGCTGCTGAAATCAGAGCTGCAGGGGGGGGGGGGGGGGGCGGTGCCCCAAGCCACCCATGCTCAGGTGGTTCATGCTGCTCCAGCCTTAATTTGAGGCTACAATCATGAAATAGTTCTATACTGGCTGGCAACTGATGCCCGAGTCTCGTCCCACCCAGTGCCCCCCACCTCTGCTCTGTCTACTTCAGCCCCTTCCCTAGAAACAACCCCTGGCCTCCCCGTGAGGCAGCACAGCTGGGACCTCTGAGCTCTGCTCAGTGGCCAGGCAGACGTTCGGGGTTGGTCAGGGTATGGGTCAGACAGATGTTAAATATTTTGAATATCACGCTATGTGCCATACTCCAGTCTGCCCTCCCTTTGTGCTCTCCTTCTAAGCAGAAGAAACTCCAAATTGGAGCCTAAATCCCAATCCCCTCAGTCTGCTTCCCACCCTCTCTGCACACTATCCTCCCTGCTTGCCCCATTTACCTCTTTCTGATCTCCACCCTCCACCCCTGTCTCGTTCCCCGCCCCAGCCCCAGCTCATATTCCGGCGCTGATGGGCTGGCCCTCTCAAGGGAAGCCAGTCACACACTAGAAGAATGTGAAATAAACAGCGCAGGCTGCATCCATTTCCATGTGGCTTGTGTGCCCTACATGCCCTTTTAGGCAGCCAGACTCAGCGCGAGTATGAGTGAGCTGAGACATCTCAGGACTGAGAAATGCAAGGTGAGGGATGATTCTAAGGGTTCCCTGATCCCTGTGAGCCAGCCCAGCCCCCCTGAGGTGGGAGTTTAGGAGATTTATTTCACCAAATGTGAGAAGTCCTTATGATCTGTTTGCTTCATGTCCTTGTGGCCTCTTTTAGGACCCCAGGACACGGGTGGACATACCACCTCACTCAACATCTAGTTGTGCAGTCTTGGGCAGGTACAATCACTGGAGCCTCAAAGTTCTTCTCTTTAAAATGGGGATGATAATCTATGACCCGCTACCCTCACAGAATTTTTAAGGATCTAGGGAGGTAATGGGTAGGCAAGTACTTCGTAGACTCCCATGGCCAGGCCTGCCTATGACATGGGAATGCTTTTGACTTATTACTGATAAAGACAAGGTGGGGCTCCTCTCTGCAGACTCATGTGCTAGGGTGACACGCAGGCTAAATGGGGCCAGTCAGGGCTGGCTGAGCTCTATCAAACATGGGCAGAAGAGAGCTGGAAGAAAGCTTTGATACCAGTTTGTCCCTTCCCTTCCTTGAGACCCAGAGAAGGCAATTCATGGTAGGCAGCGTTTATGAAGCACCTGCCCCATGCGAGGCATTGTGTCAAGTGCTTTATTTACAATCCTCATTAATCCTCAGGAGCACCCTACTATTAGGAGGCATCACTGGTATCCCATTGCCCAGGTGAGGAAGCTGAGGGTAGTAAAAATGGCAGATCCAGAATTCAAATCCAGATCTGTCAGTTGCCAGTCTGAGCTCTAAACCACAAGCTGGATAAGAGCTAAAGACCCTTCCTCTTCCAAGCCTGAGAGGCAGCCTTACTAACAGGTCAGCCCTCGTGTGGATTCAGTCCTGTGAGAGGCCAGGTGGGTGTCAGGCTATATGAGGGGGTGTGTGTGTGGCCAGTTTTCCTCTTACCTCTGGGACCTGGGGCACATGAGGCAGCTTGGCGTTGTTGTAAGGATTAGATAACAATGCCAAAATATAGCTAAACTACACAGCACACTGCCTGGCTAGCCCTGGCTGGAAAGGGAGCCGGTGGGGCAGAATCAGCTACCGGTAGTAGCCCATCGGGCATCACAGAAGGCTCACAGCTCTTTAGGCAGAAAAACAGGAATCACTGATGCACCAGGGTAGGGAAGGAATACCATGGCATGCGCGGGAATGATGAGTAGGTCTGCAGGGCTGGAGCGCTGGTGGTAGGGTGTGGACAGGCAGGGGATGAAACAGTCCAGGGAGAGAAGCGGATTTGGGGAAAGGCCCTTATGCCAAGTAAAGGAGCTCAGATTGAGGGCAATGGGGAGTCATTCCCAGCTTCACTCTAGCTGCAGTGCACAGAATGGCCCAAAGGGGGCAGCACTGGGTGAAAGGGGCTGTGGTCAACCCTCCCGGAGAGATGACAGTGGCCTGAACTGGGACAGTGGCAGAGTGGGTGAAGAAGAGGGATGGATTTGAAAGGTATTTCGGAGTAGGATGGACAGGCTATGGTGACTACTATATTCAGGAAGTGAAGGAGAGGAGTCAGGTGCCAGGATGTTAGGTCTGTCTCAGGACCGTCTTCCTCCCAAGGTTAGGACAATGTTTGAGGCAAAGAAGGTGATTTTTTTGTTGAATGGATACATATATGACAAGTAAAACCAACAGCTGCTTGATGTTAGTATGCTTACCACTTACAACATGCCGCTCTCTAGCAGCGCGAGACTACTCAGGCCCATCTGCCAGACGAGGACCGAGGCCTGGAGGAGAGCCGTGGGGGTTCTGAACTCAACCCCGGGCAGCCCAGCTCTCAACCACCTCTTTATGCCAACGGACCGGGTGAGCGTGAAGATGAACAAACTAAGAACGAGTTACAGGCAGGCTCCGTCCAGATCCAGGTGCCAAAAGAGCCGAGGCCCGGCGTTGACCCGCGTCCCGCCCGGCTGCATGCTCACGTGCCCACGCACCCAGGTGCTCACCTGCCCCCAGCCCTGCCCCTGGCCGCCCTCACCTGCGCGGCAGAACTCCTCGGCCTCCTGCGGCACCATGTCCTTGACGCGGCCGCCATAGGCCAGGCGCGCGTCCTGGTCGTAGGCCTTCAGGGTCTCGCTGGAGCTGTAGGACTTCTGCGGAACCTTGCCCTCCTCGCTGTCCGCCGACGAGCTGGTGTAGCGGCGCTCGGCGTCGCGGCGCCGGGTCAGCGAGCGGTACGGCTTTCTCTCCTTCACGTCCATGGCCTCCGGCCCGCACTCCTCCACATCCACGAACAGGGTCCTCGCGGCACTCAGGGCCGAGTGGTCTGGAGCGGGGGAACCAAAGAAAGGGCGTGAGCTCAGGCCCCAGGAGGCAAAGGCAATACTGCAGTCTATCCCGGACCTGACTGGCCCCACGAGGCTGGGGAGGAGGGACCTCAGACTTGGAGGGGGCGCGGGCGCCCTTCCACCGGCCACACATAAGCAGAGGGGGACCTGCCCCCAGGGCCCCTGATGATGAATCCTGGCCCCTCCTGCTACTCTGCCTGCCCGCCAGGAAGACACCTCAACCTCTCTTCCAGCCATGGGTATCAAGGAAGTCGGCATCGAAGACCAGGGGACACTGATTTCCGTAATCCCTCTCCATGGGAATCATGTGTTTGTTCCCATCATGTCCCCAACTGGGACAGGGCCTGACACAGAGCAGGGGCTCCTTAAGAATTTGTGAAATGAATGACCATACTCAGCCACTGGCGTAAGCACTTAACATAAATCTCTTCCTCCCCAGGACCCCCTCCAGGGCAGGTCTCCGTCTGCACCCCACAGCAAACTCTGTTCATCTCCTTAAAGAGCTCTCTTTGAGCTATGAACAAATGGGTCCATATGTTCTAACCTGGAAAGCTCCATCACTTTACTCAGCCAAAGAATGGTCTGAGGTTACCACTTGGTGTCTTTGGGATTCATCATGGATCCCGAGTGTCTACTGTAGACTTCCTTCTATGTGTTTTCCATGATTCAGAGTGCAAACATTTGTGATTTTACTGGTGCCCCATAATAAACATAAAGCATATAAGACAACTATTTTAACTCTTTTTTTATACATGGAGCAACAGTGACCCAGGGCCAAGGCCACAGGGTGCGTCAGTAACCAAGCCAACATTTGTAGACTGACAATGCCTTGGGGTTGCAACTAGAGACAATCAAGATGTGTCGGTGATACTTTTTGGGACCTAGTTCTCAAAATGCCCCTGGAAATTAGTTTGAACCTGACCTAGGATACACAGAAATCAAATCATCTTACTGGGGCCCAAAGCCAGGGTTCTGACCTCTGGCTTCTTAACCTTCAGCCTCCTGGCATTGGCTGAGCACCTGAGGAGCAGGGCTGGAGGGAAGACCGGTGATAATACTTTCTACGCCAGGGTCTGTAAAACCTTTTTGCCTGCAATCCATAATTTGAAAAGCATCATACATTGTGGCTGGATACATATATTTATGTATGTGAATGCATGTGTTTATGTGTATAAAATGGAAAAAAGATTCACAAAACCGAAGTGACTGCAATGATGAGCAATGTACTCTGATATTTCCTATTTCATTCTCTTTCACTTTTTAAAAAAGGCTGATTATAACTCCCTAAATTGACCCAATAGTAGCTTTTGACCCAAAGCACTTTTCTGGTCTAATTTGGATGAGGATGTATGGCGACTGTCACCTAGCCTCTGTGCCCTCTGGCCCTTTACCTCCAGCCCATCCCCCCGAGTGACAATAATGGTGATGATAATACGGAGTAAGCACTAAAGTAATGTTAGCCATTGTGACTAATAATTCATAATATTAATAATGGTTTCACAATAAGAGCCAATATACTGTTATTACTAGTAGCTAATACTTAGTACTTACTTTCACTAATATTATATGTGATACTATTTTAATCCTTACTTCATTTCCATAATATAGGTACTATGATTATCTGCAAATTACAGATGGGAAATTGTGAGGTTAAGTATACTGCACAAGGTTACATGGCTCTTGATTGGTGGAGCCATCATCCTGACCCAGGGGTTGAACTTGGCACATGGGTACAACCACTAGATGATATTGGCTCTGTAGGCTATGCCAGATAAATCTCCTAAGCCCAGATCACGCCACTGCCCTGCTTAAGCCTCCACAGCAGCTCTGTGGAGGCTTCGGGATAAATTCCAGTGTCTTGGTCAAAATGGAAGGCTATTCTTTGATCTGGCCCAACTCACTTCCTTCTCACTGAGCCACTTGCAACTCTCCTGGACATTAATTCTGCGGCCTCTCTATCTCTGTGCCTGTTGATTTATCATTGTACATCCAGGTAACTGGATGGTGTGTATCCACGTCTGCCTCTGCCCTTGACTGCAGTTCCTTGAGGACAGGCCTGGCATCCAGAGCTCATGAAATGTGTGCTAAATGAATGAAAGAATAAAATTACGACAGCTACTTTTTTACTTCTTACCAATCGCCAGGTGGTATAAAATGTTGGTAGTTTGACTTAGGTACATCTAAAATTGAACTGAAGGCATTGCTTAGATGCATTCTTTTAAAATTTCAAAAGAAGTCTGTATTTGAAGTATGTGTCCACTGTTTATTTAGCAGCGGTGTGACCCAGGACAAGTTATTTAACCTCTCTGTGCTTCAGCTTCCTCATCTGTAAGACAGTATCAACCTCTTAGGGTTGTTCTGAGAATGAAATGAGTTAATACACGCCCCTGGTAGATATTGTCGCTAATACATAATGGGTATGTAGAAGACTCCAGCTAAGTGTCAGTTATAACTGGAGAAGGAACATCCCCTCGGAAACATATGTTAATAAGGCCAAGACACATTTAGGCTGTTAAATTGGTGGATGACTATGTCTTCTTAGTGTGAGCCTGTTGACCGAAGGCACTGGCTTCAAGGCAAAGGCTCAGTAACCACGAATTACTAAGAACACAGCCCTGAAACCCACGGCTTCCCCGTCACAAAGCAGAGGCAGGGAGAGCATTTGCCTTGCTCCCATTCCCTTTTTATTTTTTTTTTCTGTTTTAGGCTTAATACAGTAATCCAGTAAATAGTATATTTTTTTTAAGATTTTTTTTTTGGTCATGGTTCACACTCGGCTTGGCATTTAATAGAGGAAGAGGCTGGGATGCAAGAAGTGACAGTGGAGAAGAGCTCCCCCCCGAGCGAGGGTCCACAGTCCAGTGGCTCAGAGACCTGGCGGGAGGATGGAGGAATGTTGGGGAAGGGACTGGCTTGGACCCACCCACGGCGACCCTCCTCTGCGGGCTGGGCAGCAAGGCACCCCATACACGTTCATATGTAAACATGTCAGTCCCTCCCTACCCTGCTCACCAGGGTTCCCAACACCCCAAAGTCCATTAGCCTGACCTTCCTGACCCTCCCTCTGCCCCTTCCCACAGCTCGCAGAGCACCTGGCTTCTCCCAGACGCACACCCTCTGTTTCTGTCCCTCAGAGCTGCCAATCATCTCTCTTGATTGTCACTGAGCTTCCACATCCCTGTTTCACTGGGTTCACCTGAGGGAGGCACCTGAGGGAGATGGGGCAGGAGGGTGTAGGAGAGAGGGGGCAGTGCTGCTTCTCAGCTCTCTCCCTGCCTTGTAGTCCTTTGTCTGCTCATCGGATGCCAGGTGGCCCCTCTTCCAGGCCTCTTTCAATATCTTTCCCTGCGCTCACCTGTCCACGCCCGGGGAGGGGGTTGGTCCCCGTTTCCTGCTGCCACTAGACCCTGGGTGTCTCACTATCCTGACTGGCTCTCCTCACCTGCCCACACTTCTGTCCCTTCATTAAAATGTGTTCATTTAAAGCATCTTGAGCGGATCCTGTTTCCTGGGGGATCCTGACCCCTTACTATCTGGTTGACTTTCAGTAATCATCGGGACCATCATCGTCAAAGTAATAAACCCACAGCTCCCGCTTACTCGGGGCTTACCATAGGCCCGATGCTGGGCGAAGTGCTTGTGTTAGGTCATTTCATTTAGTACTCACCATCCCACGCTGTAGCAGTCCCTCTTAACGATAAAGAGAACCGGAGGCTTAGAGAAGTTAAGTAACTGGCTTAAAGCCACACAGTCAAGAAGTGGATCAAGAGCTGGGTCCATCGACCATCCTTCCCACGGCCCTCCACCACTCACTGTGACGGAACGAGCTCCACGGTCCTTCTCCAGCCACCCCCTGGCTATGGGGCTCTGGCAACTCAGGTGTTGGCTTTGTTAGATGCTTCATGAACTATAATGTACCTTTTATCTGTAGGCGTAAGGGATTGGAGAAGGACTACTCTCAGCGTCATCATCGTCATCATTATTGACGTGTTGCTGTTTCTGACCCACAAATCCTATAACTGCACACACATAGCATGTATGAGACTCTGGCCTGCTCCCGAGGTGTGGCTGGCTGAAACTCTTCTCTGGGTGAAGCCCGAGCACCATGAAGGTGCCTTCAGAGAGGAGTTCATTCCCAAAGCCCGTTCCAGACAGACCTGTGCTGAGCACTGGGCCCGGAGACGGGCAGGATGGGAGCTCTCTCTCCAGGGTGTCAGCCCCAGGGAGCAACCATGGGTGCTTTGATGAGCATGACTTGCAGTTCTGTATGTTTCTCCTGATGCAGACGTGGGTATCATTCTTGGCCTCTCTCTGGGGAAGGAGAATGGGCCCCGGACAGGAGAAGGGAAGAAACATGGATGCATTAAGCCCTGTATGCAGTGCATTCCACACTGACCTGTAAGAGCTCTGGTCATTTATCATTTCAGAGAGCAGGCGACATGACCTGGGTGGTTGGTCAAGTTCACACAGTCGGCAGCTGACTCTAAAATCTACATTTTAGGCTTTTTTCTTTTATACGGAGCTGGGCTCCGATAGACCTGGAAGGTTTGAACAGGTCCGTGAATGTGGGGAGGCCCGGGTTGGGGATGGTGATCAGGGGATGATCTCAGATAGGAAAAGAGGTAATCACAATAAAGCAGCCACCATTTATCAAACCCCTATTCGTGTGCCGGGTATTTTGTACATACTATTCCTAATCTCTACAACAATTATGCGGGTTAGATAGATCCTCTTTTATATTTTCTCTTATTTACTCTTATTGTACAAATGAGATGATGAGCTTAAAGAGATTAAGGGACTTGCTCTAGATCCCGTAGCTTCCAAATTTCAGGGCCTAGATTTGAATCAGAAGGAAATGTTTCAACCTCATGAAAGGTATTGTACACCTCGTACCATAGGCTAATTCATTTAGTAAGTAATGGCTTAGTACCTTTTCTGTCCTAAGTGCTGCAGAAGATGCACAGAGGTAACACACCAG